ATTCTGAATAAGTTTAGATTCTAATTTAAACTATTATAATTACAATTCAACTAATAAAACAAAATAGATATTGATAACTAATTAGGAAGTGTTTGGCAGGAAGTTAATATTACAATTCAATTTAATATTTATATATTATTAAAATTTTTATTTTTGAATAATAAAGATACAGGAAGTTAGAATAATTGTTATCTGTGTATGGAGATTATTTTTTTCGTCCGTTAAAAAAATTGGTTGACATTGCTATTTTTCAGCCATAAATAAACAACTGTAAAGATTTTTTATTTATATTTAATTTATTATCATATTTATATAACTCATATCCGATATTTATAGTTTGGGGTTAATTAGGGTCTTGATTTAAATTGGTCACTTAATATTTAAATTGATTTATAAATTAATAAATTATAGGAAGAGCTATAATCACAAAATTCAGAAACGTGTGGTAATTTTTTATGATATATTTATCGGCTATTTTCACAGTCATGCAACTAAATATGTAAATTGGCCACTTAATATTTAAATTGATTTATAAATTGATAAATTATAGGAAGAGCTGTAATCACAAAATCCAGAAACGTGTGGCAGTTTTTTATTATATATTTATCGGCAATTTTCACCGTCATACAACTAAATATGTAAATTGGCCACTTAATATTTAAATTGATTTATAAATTGATAAATTATAGGAAGAGCTATAATCGCAAAATCTAGAAATGTGTGGCAGTTTAAAATATTAATTGGCCAATAAATATGGTTTTAAATATAGGAAGAGCTATAATCACAAAATCCGGAAACATGTGGCAGCTAAAACACAGTTATGCCACTAAATATTTAAATTGACCACTTACTGTTTAAATTGATTTATAAATTGATAAATTATAGGAAGAGCTATAAATAAAAAAACTGTAAAGATTTACTGCTCCACTCATTCACTTATTTATTGTGTTATGATGTAGACGACAACAAAGCTAATGTAAAGGAGAGCATCAAAGCAAAACACAAAGTGCTCTCAGCTCATCACAAAAGATCATTAAATGTTGACTTGCTTTCATAATTTGATTCATACAACTTCTCTTTGGTGCTCCATATATTTTTACTTCCCAGAATTTACTTTGAAGTGCTTAGAGCTTTTACTACCTTGACCTAAATTTCCATGCACACACGCACATACAAGATCCACATGCATATTGTGCTAAACCTTTTGTGACGGGTTGCAATGGTCTAGATTGACTATTTCTATCAAATGTAGCATGTTCTATAGTTGCTTAATTACTTTTCGGGTATAAGAATATATATTGTTACTTATCAACTCATTCCTTATAAAACTCATGCTCCTGCTGTTAATCGGAATTCCTCAAGTAAATGTCATTGTAAACTAGCAGTAGCTACTTTATGAAATTTTTGCGCATCATAATTGTATATGCATAATAGTTGCTTAGTTGCAGAGTTCACGAAGAGAAAGCTTCTTGGTTATCTAATTTGCTTGCTTTATCATGTCATACCACACCTCAAAATAGCGGGTTAGCACTCTTTAGTTGTATTTTTTTTTATGTTCAATTAATAAAATGTTATGCCAATTTCTATTTAATCAGTCTATGTCAATCCAAAATTGTTATTTTATTTAATCTTATTGATATGTAATCATATTTTTATTTGAAAAAATTGAAGTATATTATATTATTGAGTTGAAGACAAAAATAAAGGACATTTTAGCATTATTTTCATCATAAAATATATTTATTCAATATAACTTGATCCCTATGACAGTCAGAAAGAGAAAAGTAAGTTATAAGAATTTAAAAAGACTTGCATCTGGTGTTGTGCAATGGGCAGAATGAGTGGTCTCGATATCTCATACCACAACCTATTAAATAGGTGCGAGTTAACTGAAACCTATTTGAATTCTAGAACAAACTTACATTTAGCATATTGACCACGATATATAATACTACCTACGGTCCTAATTATAAGACCCAATTAATTAATTTGGGGAGATTAAGAATTTGGTTAAGTTAGTTATTTGTAATGAATATGTGCTATTTTTCCTAAAATATCCTTACTAGTCAAGTTTGTTATCTATAACTACTATTATTAAAAGGATTATTATGAAAAAAGTAGGTAAATATGAGAGACAAAGTAGATTGAGGTCTTATATTTAGGACCAAAATAAAAGTCAAACAGGGTCTTATAATAAGGACCGGAGGTAGTATTAAGAACAAAATGAAATATATAAGATTGTGTCCTAAAGTAAAGTCACATATGAAGTTTATTTATTCAGTCTAACCTAAAATTACGTCCCTGTGATAGCTAGAAAGAAAAAAAAATTAATATTCAAAAAGAAACTTTTTGTATATTATATTTTGAGGTAAAAGTGAATTTCAATTAACCATTCCATAGTGATTTCACTTTCTGTGTTATATATGGAGCCCATTCTTCATATCCCCGAAGCCATCACGTCTCTTCACCAAAATGCATGTACGGCTTTATTTTTCTATTTTGTAAAACCCAAAATTCCATGTGCAGCTTCTCTATTTATGCATTATTCACGTCTTGACAGTTATCTCTCATGATGTATTATTTCTATTTAAATTATTTTAGTTGAGTTGTTTATTTAGATCTTAAAATTAAAACTCATCTTAAAATATATTTTAAATTTTAAGTTAAGGGAAGTTGTTTATTTCCACGATACTTATTGTTTATTCCCATTCAATTCTTATCCATTCTCCTATTTCTTATTTAATGGGCTTTTATTCAATAATTTTAAATAAAAAATAGATGTGGGCATTTTCTTATCGGATAAAAAATAGCTCATTTTTTGTTTCTTATTTAATGAAATTGTTTTACATTTCAGACATACACTTAAGATATTTAAAATATTTAGTAGTTAAAATTCATTATTATATTTACACCTAAAATATATAATATTTATTTATATTTTAGCTTTGGAATAGAGATCTTGAATAAATATTTTAAATTTTAAATTAAAAATATAAAAATGATATAACTTCTCTCTTCAAGCCCCTATTTATTTGAATGTATGATTCCATGTTTTCCTACTTGAGCGTAGGGGTGTATTTTAAATTTCAAATTAAGAAAAGCCTAAAAATCAAATAACTATTGTATACATAAAAACATATACCCAAGCAAGCTTCATAGTGGGCCACGTTAGTGATTTTAAATATATGCATGGGCTCTTATATTTAAAAAACCGAAAGTAATAACTAACCATTATTATATATATATATATATATATATATAAAAGCAAATGACCAAAATAAGCTTCATGGTGTGACAACCCAACTAAAGGGGTATTTGGATAGTACTAGAAGTGTTTTTGAAAAGCACTTTTTCACAAATCGAAATAAACTCCTTTACATATTTATTCATATATCGTGAAAATATTTTTAAAACTATGGTTTTAATTCCATCCAAACACCCCAAAAAAATAATGAAAACAGGTCCCATCCTATGATGATTTCTAATTTACATTCTTCCACCAAAATTGATTGCTTCAATCATGTTTATGCACAGCAACGTTATATTGTTATTATATATATTAGCAAAACATGTTATAAGAGCAGATATAACATTTAGGATCAATCTGTATTAAACAAAAAAAACCATCTAGGAGCAATGACACTCTGAATATTTGAAAATAATGATCTTAGATGATATACGTGTCACACCAAAAAAAAAATTCAATATTACTTACAAAGAGACTTTTTATAGTCTTATGTCCTAAACATATATATAAATTTTAATTAACCATTATATAGTGATTCAATTTTTCATACTATGTAAAGACGTACTAATTAATTCATACCCGTGCAACTGTACTAGTTATACCATAAAAGAAGGACTGGAGGGGTTTAATGAATGCTAAGATCCATGTGAACAAGATATTATGCTGATTTTGAATTAGTGGAGAGCAACTCCGCTGGTCGTGATAGTGTTGGTTTTTATTTTACTTTTCTTCATTCAATTTAATTTATTCAGAGTTTGATTCTGATTAATTTTCTTTTTTAAATCCCAACTAATATCATCTCCATGGATCCTTAAATTTGTTCCATTGTTTTTAATTATCATTTTTCTGTTTGCTGATTCCTTTCGGTGATAAATGAGAAGTTGATGACTTTGTAATTTTTTTATCCAATTTATATTTTTATATAATTATTTCTTTATTTGGTAACTTACTGGGGATTGTAATTCCCTAAAAGTATGTTCTTAGTGGATTATAACCTATTGCTAATTCTTTGTAATTATCAAAAAAATCGGCAAAAAAATTATGCAGTTAAATTTAAACAAAATGAGATCCTAACAAACTCATTAGAACTTAAATCATAATCTCAAAATCTTCAATATACCCGTATATCTGTATAAATTTTTTTAATAATTTTTACGGATTTTTAGGGATACAAAAATTTGAAATAATTGTTATCGAAATTTAAAAATGTTAAATTTTTTTTTTGGCCAGCGAGTTATCAGATTAATTGGATCTTAAACAATAATTTCAAATAGGAAATATTTTCTCATAAGTATAAGAATATAACTTTCTTTCAATTTATAGGAATAACCATACATTTAAATCAAATTATTAATTTCTGACCCAAAAAAAATCAAATTATTAATTTAATTTGAAATAAACGTATGACTAAAATTTAGAGTCCGTTTGGTTTAACTCGATTTCAGACCTGTAATAATAATCAAGATTGCATTAACGAAATAATGGTGTTTGTTTGCTTTTTAATTTGGTAATAAAGTTTGCCATTATAACGAAGGTTACCAAAAATCTGGTAATCCCCGTTCATACATCTTTCCATGTAAATAGATATTACCAATTTACCACTAATTGCATTATTTAGAATGTCTTTTTTACCCTTAAAATCTGACATGGAAAGGCATGAAGTAACCCAGATCAAATCCCTCATCTTTCCTTCAATGTCTTCATCTCTACGTCTTCTCGCTCCCCCGCTCTTTCTCCACCTTGCCGGCCGCCGTCACTCACCACCTCCTCCTCCACCAAGTTTAAAGCTATGAATGTTATCTTCAACTTCTTCATCTCTACCTCCTCTCCCCCACTTCACTCCTTCTCCACCTAGCCGACGTCGACGCCGCTGCCCACCACCTCTTCCTCCACCACCAAGTTTGAAGCCATGGATGTTCCCTCCAACTTCTTCATCTCTGCCTCCCCTCTCTCTCCCCTCCCCTCCTCCACCTTGTCGGCGTCGACGCTGTTGCTCACCATCTCCTCCTCCACCAAGTTGGAAGCCCTGAATGTTCCCTTCAACTTCTTCAGATCTGACTCCTCTCTCTCTCTTTCTCCTCTCCTTCATCCTTCTTCATCTTGTGACTCACCTCCTCGTCCGGAAAATACATGATGGTCATACCCGATAGAATTAACAAAAGATGGCAATGGATATGACACAGCGACATTGCCACGAGGATGAAAGAAGGAACCATTGTTAATTACCAAGGCTGCCATCGGGTCTCATTTCTGTGAGTACAAGTAACGTGATCTTTGATCTGCAGAAGTTTCCCCTCCAGTCTCACCAAGAAGCTCAGCAGGAATCATATGTGGAGTGAAAGATTTCTTTCACAAGGGTCAAAAAAGTAATTTAACCATTTTTTAATTAAAAATAAATATTGGTGCATGATTTTTTTTAGCAAAACAAATGCATTAACAGCAATAAAGATTGCATTACAATCAATCGTTTAAGACTCAGACCGGACCGGACGGTTCGATCGGTCAAATCGTCGACCAAAGGGTCTGTCGGGCCGTTTTATGGATTCAACCGTTTAGAGCATTCAGCCATTTTGGACCGTTTTGAGTTGGCTTTTGAGTTGGTAACCACCATCAACCCTCGAACCAGAGCAGTTTTTCAATAATCGGATGGTTCAAACTGTGGTGGGAAAATAGAGCTCGCAGAAGAAGAAATGGAGAATAAAATATGTAGATTTAAAGTGCATACAGAAATGATATTAAGTTTTGAAGTCTCAAAAATGCACTGTAGAAAACTCAGCAGCAGAGAGAACCAAAAAGCAGCAAAGAGAACCAAAAGAGTGCACAGATGAAGATGAAGAAGAAGTGAATTTGAGAGTTGAGAAAGAAAGAAAGAGGAGAGTACGCAAAATGAAGGGATGAAAGCCTGAAACAAAAGAAAATGATGGCGGATATTTTGAGAAGAGACTGTCTATTGAACGATGAACAAAAATATGCATTGTGTTAATACCCATGAGATAAAAGAACTGGAGGTCACTTTATTTCTTCTTTTCAGCAGGACTTGCTCCTCGTCTAATGTGAATGTGCTTTTTTTTAAAAAAAATTTTTTTTCTTTTATTAATAATTGAGTAAGAATATGAAAAATGAAATTTAAAATTTTTCAAGAAGATGCTGTATTATTTTTATTATTATGGAAATAGCTTAACTCACTATAAAATTGAATTATTGAAGTTTAATATTAAGTTATTTAACTTTTTCTTTTTTTACATATATATTATATATGTATACAACACTAATTTTAGTCAATTATTACGTTACTGATCCAATCGAGCGGTTTAACCGATCCAACCGTTTAAACTGTGACCCGCTGATATCTCCAGCTTGATATCCGGCTTTTAAAATATTGATCAATTACAATATATTGCATTACATTGTTAAGAATGCTTGTAATTAAACCAAACGGGTGCTAAATGTGTTGGAATGCTTGAACCTAAAGCCCCGAACACCTCAGGCTCCCTGGCTTCCGTATCTCTCCGATTGATTTTCTCACCTCAAAGCATTTGAAAAGCTGAAGATGCTCTTCTGTAGAAGAGCTTCAAGGTACGTCGTCCCCAAATTGCCTTCGTTTTCTACATCGGCTCCGTCTTTATCCCTTCTATCTCCTTCATATGCCCTAGCTCTCCACCCCTGTCTCCATTCCAATTCCACAAATCGTCAGAGTATTGAAGAGCCTATATCATCTTTTGATAGCTTGCTTAGTGTGCAGCACCCACCCTCTATAATCCGAATTCCTAATATCCTAGGATCTGTTGCAAGGTTGAAACACTATCAAACTGATATCTCCCTTTCCGCACGAGCGGAATCTAAGGGATTCATATGCTGAAGTTATTGTTGGTTTGATAATGAAAAGCGGTACGAAACCTAATGAAATTATGTACAGTGTTTTAATAGGTGGTTATTATTTAATCAATGATGTTGATAATGACATTAAATTAAGAAAGTTGAAAGTAAGTTTAAAAATTCTAGAATTAATTGGCTTAAAGCTAATTGAAGTAAAATGGAAAAAATTATGGAATCTTATTTTGATGGTTTAGAAATGCTATGGTATTAGAGTATTAGTTCAATCTAGAACTTTCGCTCTGATAATATAGATGTAACACCTAACCTATTATATGCTAATTTCTCAATCATGCTAAATTATTTCCAAGCACTTCTTATGAAGGAATATATAGTCATATCAACTATCACATTTGCCTTACTCAAATGATATTTTAGCTCAAAATTATTATCTTTTAATACTTCCATCCATCTTATTTGCCTCATATTCTGTTCTTTTTATTTTTGAAGATATTTGAGACTTTTATGATTATACTAAAATTTCAATTGTAACTCCATAATGCCTCTATAATATTTTAGGTCCTATCAAGCCTTCACTTATATATGTGTATATCTATTAACTATGACCTCTTATCAACACCTTCCATTAACTCTTGGCCTTTTTTATGACTTCTAAAACAGTGGAATAAATGGTACACCTTAATTTTCAATTTCCTTAATTATTCTGAGCCTTTAGACATTTTTAATAATTATTTCTTTCTTCATTTTCTTATGTATCTTACTCAAACATAAGCTTTTATAGAATACTTTTTTTTTCCTGAGGCCTTAACTAAATATTTAACCCTCCTTGGCCTCTTTTAATTTCTATCCTCCACATTTAGGGTATTACAAGAAATGTTGACATAGTTGAAGCTATTTTAGTTTGATGGTGAAAAGCAGTGTGAAGTGATGTATCCCTATTTTATAATATATTTTTATATATAATTAAGATATTTTATAATGTTTAAAGGATTTAAAATACAAAAGATACTCATATTTTGAATTAAAAAAATTATATAAATTAATTGCTTAAAAATGCATTTTTATTATATTTTTATAATTTTCCTTTTAAAAGGTATCCTTGCTTTGATTCCAGGGAATATTCTGTCAAGCAAAACATAGACCTCATGGAAACTACATTTGTGGCAGCTACTTGTCATTAAAAGAGAATTTCCAATTATCTAATTGAAAATTATCTAAAATATCCAACTAAAATATCTCATATCTTCCAATATAAATTAAAAAGTTTGAATAATTACTTTCTTTTGTGGATAATTCATTTATCTTATTTTGAATTTGAATAAATATTTTATTCATATTTTCTATTAAATTTTGTGCCATATCCACCATATATCCATTACCCATTTAATATCTCAAATATTCACATTATCACCTTTATCTTCCTTCGAAAACCTAACCCTAGTTAATTCTACCATTATATCTTTATTCAAATTTGAAATATTATCCTTTTATCGAATATCATTTAAATTCAAAGCCTCTTTCCTTTGGTTGCCATGAAGATCATACTAAATCAAGACAATTCAAATTTGAAGTTATATTAATATTACAAGATATAAGAAGATATAAGATCAAGTTAGAAGTCTCAAAGATTTTCTCATCCAACTAGGGCATATTCAAGAGCTATAAAAGGAAATCAATGGAACCTTAGAAAAGGCACGAAGCCATCTCCACTACACAAGCATAAGCATACACTTAGCTTCCTCTTGTGTCTAGTTGTTTCATTGTCTTCTTTTTATTATGTTTTTTCTTATCATTATGGTGTCATCTAGCTTTATATGTAGCTAGTCCTCTTTGTTCATGAGGATAAGATGATGTGGGTTGAGTTCCTATTCACATTAAGGAGTTTGTTAGTTTTCATATTTCAATCGACGAGTACGTTGCTTTCATGAATTTCCTAGATTAGAATTTCTATCTTATACTCCTGCTTATTTGTTCCTAGGTATAAAGAACACATTACCATTATTTATTGGATATGTTGTATTATTTTCATTATCCCACCATTAATTATATGAAATGATCAAGTTAGTAGACCCATGTCAAATATTTAATACGGGCATTTTTTGAAAGAATTTTAAATGTGAATCATATTCCCTTCTCTTTTATATATAAGATACAAATAACAAAAATAATTTTTTTATTAAAATTGATTAAAAATAATGAATGTATAAAAATGTGTTTTCAAATAAAGCCTAAGAGTGAGTAAGAGAATCAGTAAGAAAAAGAAAGGTCAGTGTGAGGGAGCATTTGGTTAATTAATATAGTGATATAATATGAAATTATTAGTAAGGGAAAAATTTTTTAAAAAAAAAGGTTAGAATTTCATGCATTGTTTGATCACCCGTTTGCAAATTATGGATTAGTATATGATTTGTTTTGACTCTTACCATTGCAAATGCGCCGAATATTGCTTTACTTAAAATGGTTAAAGCATATTTTTGGTCTCTTAACTTTATTTAAGATTTTATCTTGGTCTTTTAATTTTAAAAAGTAAATTTTTAGTCTTCTAATCTTAGAATCGTTAACAAAAAATGATGATGTTAAACTTTTGAATGCTAACAAAATATTACTAAATGCTATAATACTAATTTTAATTTTTAAAGTAACCATAATTATTAAATATCATCTTTTAAGACTAATAATTTAGGGTTAAAGAACTAAAAGTATATTTTTTTAAAGTTAATAGACTAAATTGAAACTTTATGTAAAGTTAAAGGATTAATTGTATACTTTAACCTAGAAAAACCATAAAAAAAATTCTTGTGAAATGTAAGAAACTTATGCAATGACAAAATGGAGAATTATTAAGATTTGGTTCTCATGTGAAACAACAAATTTATTGTGCTCATCTTTAAAATCAAATTAAAAAAAAAAAAACAAAACTTAATACCCCAAACTCCCATTGACCTACAAATTCTCTGGAATCTTGTACTCGTCTTCCCGTCTCGTCGAACGCCAAATTTTCAGTAGAAGGATCTGAACTTCTGAATCCAACTGAAGACGTCTCCTTTCATTTGTTCCTACTATTCACAGACTTCTGTTCTAGGACCAGGGAACAAGAAAACCAACCAGAAAAGAGAAAGAAAAGTGGAAAGAGCAAGAAAATTATTTTTCTTTAGGTAGATTGTGTTAGAGTGGAATCATGGTGACTGAGAAATGTTTGTGATGAATTCATTGTTTTTTTTGTCTACTTGTATGTAATTCTTCTGGGCAAGTAAATGCTTATATGTAATTCCACTGGTTGATATATATATATATATATATATATATATGATGATGGCATTGGTTCTTATTCTACTTTTCTTTATTCAGTTTAATTTATTCAGATTTTGATTCTGATAAAGTTTCTTTCAAATCCCAGTTGACGTTATATTGTTTTTTTCCCAATCTCCTGTTATAGTACTCAACTTCATGGTTACTTCAATTTATTTTCATGGTTTTCAATCTTTTTTTTTTTTCCGTTTGCCGATTCCTTCTAGTGATAAACGAGAAGTTGATGACTTTGCCACTTTTTTTTTTTTTTTCCAATTTATATTTTTATATAATTATTGCTTTATTTGGTAACCTATTTTCTTGGATTGAGGGTAATTTGCCTCATTCGGTGATAGGGATGGCCATCAAATGGATGTGTATTGCCTATTGCCTTATTCTCCATTTGATGGTTGATATTCACAGTACAGGGAGGTTTTGGGGCAGGGGTCTTGGAGGAAGGCGAATACCTTTTCCCAGTAATTTCTATGCTGGGTGGAATATGTGATGAGCAAAAGAACTGAATAAGTAACATAAATTCATGTGATAGTAAACACTTTGGGGATTATTATGATTCACTAACATTATGTTCTTAGCGAATTACTAACTCTGGTCTTTAATATAAAAGTTAATTGATTAATTTGAATAGATTAAAAAATTAGTTAAGTTAATTATTGATACTAAAGAGGTGTCAATTTTCTTAAAGTGTATTGGCTATAATTATAATTATTACAAGAACTGCTTTGAAAATAAATAAATAAATATGAGAAACAAAATATATTAAAATCTTATATATAGGATCAAAATAAAAGTCAAATAAATTTTTATATTGAGAATCGAACCTAACACAATCTATTAATTTCTGGCCGCTAGCTTGAAGATGATGAAATTCACTCCTGGGAGTCCCCAAACATGTTGGGTGGATGTGAATGCCGCCAACAAACTAGGGCTAGTGAGGTTGGGACCCGGTTTAAGTGTTCAATGACTTGGATGACCACCTAATGCTTTGAATGGTTTAAAATTAAAATTTTTGAATAAATTTTTTCAAAAAATAATAATTAAGATATTATCTTTATTTTATCTTTTATACTCATTAAAATAGTTTTAATAAAAATAAAAAAGAAATTACATTTGGACTTTTAAATACAATGAATTTGGGAGTAATACTACTTTTTTTTTTTGGCACATTTTGTCTCTTTGGTGTGGCCGCGTGGATCGTTGCTGTGGTGATGATAATTCTGAAAATACCAAGAACAAAATAGCATTTTATTTATTTATTTATATAAGAATGCTCGTGGTCAACTCAATTCATAGCTATGGGAATCTGATTCTTACTCCCCAGTACCCTCTTCAGGCTGCTTCTTCACGCCCTCCTTCTTCCGGACATGTTCACGCGTCTCCTTCTCATTCATTTTCTCTGTAAATTGGGGGGAAAAAAGGGACCGCAAAAAAATGATTATTAGTAAAAGTGAACTAATTTTTTTTTTGACTCATAAATGAACTAATTAAAATTTAAATATTATCTTACTTTATACGAGTAATCTTTATAATTATGTAAAAAATCGGCAAATAATCATGCATTTAAATTTCAACAAAATGAAATCCTAAACAAACTCATTAGATCTTAAGTAATAATATCAAAATCTAATATATCCATATATCCGTATAAATTGGTTTAAAATTTTTAAGGATATGAAATTTTGAAATATTTGCTTTATCGAAGTTTCAAAATGTTGTCATCAGAGTAATTGGATCTTAAACAATAATCTCAAATCTTAAATATATCCTCATAACCATATAATTTCAAATCTTAAATAATCTTAGATTTAAATCAAATTAATTTAATTTGAAATAAACGTATGGCTAAAATATAAAGGCGTTGGAACATTTGAAGCCGAAGTCCCGAACACCTTAAGACTCGCTGCCTTTGCTGTCTCTCCCATTGACCTTCTCACCTCAAAGGATGTTGTTCTGCAGAAGAGCTTCAAGGTATGCCTTGCTCAGATTGCCTCTGTTTTCTGCATCGCATCTATCTTTATCCCTTCGTTCTCCTTCATACGCCCTAACTCTCCACTTCTGTTTCCATTCCAATTCCAAACATCCTCAGAATATTGAAGAGGCTCTCTCTTCTTTTAATCGCTTGCTTCATAGGCATCCCCCACCCTCTATAATCCAAATCAACAAGATCTTAGGATGTGTCTCAAAGTTGAGACATCATCGAACTGTTATCTCCCTTTTCGGACAAGCACAAACTAAGGGATTCGTGCCAGATTTGGCTACATTGAACATCTTGATCAATTGTTACTACCATGCGGGTCAAACGACTGCTGCTTTCTCTGCCTTAGGTAAGATTCTTAAGATGGGCTTTCAGCCAGATAAGATTACTTTGACTACTCTTATGAAGTGCTTTTGCATCAATAATGACATTGGGAAGGCTTTGGATTTTCATGATGATCTGATAGCAAGAGGGGTTCAGTTGGATGCATTTAGTTACGGCACGCTGATCAATGTACTGTGTAAGAGTGGAAAAACAGGAGCTGCAATTAAATTGGTCCAAAAGATGGCGGATGGGCTAGTTAAGCCTAATTTAATCATATATAATACAATTATTGATGGCTTTTGCAAAGAAAGACTCATTAGTGAAGCCTATGATTTATATCATGAAATGATTGATCAAGGAATATTTCCTGATGTTGTGACCTACAGCTCCCTAATACATGGTTTTTGTGTCATGAATAAATGGTCGGAAGCTGCAAAATTATTTAGTAAAATGAAACTTGAAGGCATAAATCCTAATGTTCGTACTTTTAGTATAATGATCGATGCATTTTGTAAGGAAGGAAATGTCATCAAAGCTGAAGCTATTGTTGGTTTGATGATGAAGAGTGGTGTGAAGCCTAATGAAGTTACGTATAGTGCTTTAATGGGTGGTTATTGCTTAATCAATAATATTGGGGAGTCAATGAAATTATTCAATAAAATGGTCAAGAGTGGTTTAACTCCTGATGTTTTTAATTACAGTATTTTGATTAATGGACTATGCAAAATCAAGATGATTGATGAGGCCATGGATCTTTTTCTAGAAATGAAGGGCAAAAATTTGAATCCTGATATTGTTACTTATAGCTCTCTTGTTGATGGTTTGTGCAAATCTGGTAAAATGTCATGTGTGCAGGATATTATTCAAGAGATGCATTATAGAGTTCGGGCCCCTAATATAATATTTTATAGCATCTTATTAGATGGATTGTGCAAAAGTCACCATCTTGACCAAGCAATCAGATTATTTCAGCAAATTGTTGATCAAGGAATTCAGCCTGATAGTTACACCTATACTATACTGATTGATGCTTTGTGCAAGGGTAACAGATTAGATGATGCACGACGGATTTTTCAGCATTCTTTGATGAATGGCCATCATCTGAATGTCCAAGCATATAATGCCATGATTGAATGACTCTATAAAGAGAGTGCCTTTGATAAGACAAAGGCCCCTCTTTACCATTGTATGCATGTTTGTGCTGCAAGTATTCGCCCTAAAAGCATTTTGGAAAGCGAGAACAACTGACGCTTCCCTGGATGCACTTATAAGAGATTGAGAATGAAAATGGTTGACAGGAAGGCATATGAAGAGTAGACCTTTCAGGTTTGATTATTGTTGAGCATGAGTGTATTCTTTCCTTTCATTTTTTGGATCAGTTAATTTTCTAGAAATATATTCTAGGCTTTAGTTTTTTTAGTTAAATGACTTATCTTCTAATATTACATGATATACTACCTTCGTCTCTAAATATAAAAACTAGTAGATAAATTTTTTTAAGTATAAATATAACATCTCAATCTATGTTTTGTTTTTCAAATTTATAATTAATTTCCCGTACCCTCTTTCACACATTAAGGGATATTAATCAGGAGGGAGTTTCTAATTAAATGATCATATGAGTACTTTAGAATATCAATACGCATTTTTTAACAAATAATTAAATTATCTAATTTTTTTAATCTTTATAAATCAGCTTTTATGGTAGAAATCAATGCAAGACAAAAAAATTGCTGTTTATAAGCGTTAATCCCGAACTCTCTCATGCACATAGATGTTGGAGTTGAAGCTTATTAATAAGCGTCAACCCCGTCTGGTTGCTTCAAATAAAGTAATCTTTGTCAATCAAAGGAAACAAAATACTCCTCCACTTCTAATATAAGACCTACTTTATAGTATAATTTATATTACAAAATGAATCTTATAATTAAGACCGAAGAGTATTTATTTTCTATGATACTTCCATCAAAAGACAAATACTAGTTATTGCTAATTATATTCTTATTCTGCCCGTGAATATAGAATCATTTCACTTAATTCACAAAGATTATGGAAAGGAATTAAATTGGTTATTCGCAATTAATGTGACAAAATTTGTAGTAATTTTCTGTCAAATAAAAAATAGGATGCGAAGTATCTTTTTATATTCATATAATTATTATTTATCATCCCCTCTAATCTTATACTTCTGCTTATTTGTCCTAAATATAAACAACACATTACCATTATTTATTGTATATGTTGCATTTTCTATTATCCCACCATTAATTGTATAAAATGATCAAGTTAGTTGATCCATGTCAAATATTTAATACGGACATTTCTTGAAAGAGGTTTAAATCTTTTTTGACCAGCGAAAGAGGTTTAAATCTGAATCATACTCCCTTCTCTTTATATATAAGATACAGATAATGGAAAAAATTGATTATAAATGTATAAAAATATGTTTTCAAATGAAACCTGCAACTGCAAGTGAGTGAGAGAATTAGTAAGAAGAAGAAAGATGGGTGTGAGGGACTATTTGATTAATAAATAGTACTAGTCAACTTTTTAATATAAGAGCTAGTTGACTAATTTGAGTATGTTAAAAAAATTAGTTAAATTAGTTATTTATAATAAATAGATGTTGTCTTCATTAAAATACCCTTGCTAATTATATGTCTTAATTAAAAACCCTTAATTATTATAAAGTTATCTTAAAAAAAAGAATAAATATAAAAAAAGTTGATTCGGGTCTTATATCTAAAATTAAATTAAAAATTGAATAAGCTTTTATATTAAGAATTAGAAGTAGTAATATAATATGAAATTATTAGTAAGGAAAACATGAAAAAAAAACTTAGAATTTCATTCACCGTTTGATCATCAGTTAGAATGTGATTTGTTTTTAGAGGTGGGAATCAGGATCGGCCTTTTAGGGTTGGCGGGCTTAAAAGAACCGGCCCTCCAAGGCTCAAATTTCAAAAATACCCCAATTTGTTAGGCTCGGCCAGTGGGCTTTTGGCTCGTTTAAGAAAAAAAATACTATTTTTTTATATTTCTTATATATTTTTATAAAAAATAAAAACAAACCAGTGAAATTGTTAATAGAAAACATAAATATGAATAAAATTAAGTCACAAAAATAAAATATCATCATATATAAATATCCATCAACATCCAAGAACATCTAAAATATTTATTAACAAAATAACAACATCAAAAGTTTTATCTATAGTGCGATTGTATAATAAATAAACACTATCATTAATATTCAGCGGAGGTCTAATGAAATGATAAAAGAAAGTTAGTCTCTACTCCGTATTTTGTGTACTTGTCACTACAAAAAAATTGACTTTCAGCGATGACTTTATAAAAGTCGCTGCTGAAAGTTTTTAATAGTGACAAGTCGTCGCTAAAAAGTTATTGCCGTAGCAGCTGTGGCTGAAAACTTTTAGTAGCGACTAAAAAAGTTGCCGCTGAAAGATACTTTCAATGGAGACTCTTAGAAGTTTCGACTGTGACATTTGTCGCTGCTGAAAACACTTTCAGCAGCGACATTTGTCGCTGTTGAAAAGCCTTTTAGCGGCAATAAGAATGTCGCCGCTGAAAGACACTTTTGGCGGCGACATTAAAAGACTTTTCAGTGGCGACAATTGTTGCCGCCGAAAGGTATGTTTAGTAGCGACTTTTTTGTCGCCGTTGAAAGTAATGCCTAAGAAGAGTTGGCTTTACCAACACCACGTCATCACCGTTGCCGCCAAGTCATCGTGCCGGCGGCTACATCATCACCGCCGACCACCACATCATCACTAGCCACCTCCACGTCATTGTCACATCACTCCTTCCCACCATGTCATCGTCCAAATATTTTCATCTTAAATGTGTCTTCTTCAAGGTTCAAACTCGTGACCGCCTCCTTTCGTGTCCAATCTACTTGCTGCTGAGCCAGATTGAATTTGTTTATTAATATTGTAAAATAAAATATATATTATTATATTACACTTTCAGCAGTGACACTTTTGTTGCCGCTAAAAGTCTTAGTTTTAGCAATGAACTTTCAGCGGCGACAAAAAAAGTCGCCGCTGAAGGTCTTAGTTTCAGCAATGAACTTTCAGCGAAGACTTTTTTTGTCGTTACCGAAAGTCGTCGCCTAAAGTCTGTTTTTTTGTAGTGTGTGTTTGTGATGAAAAAGGTTGACAAATTTTTTTTTTTGGATAAACGTTTTGGTTGTACCGTCTGACTGCAATTTATTTTTATTTTTTTTGGGTCATGTGTTTCATATATATTTACTTCTTATTCTTGTAACTGTTATGATCAAAGTACTTTGTAAAGAGCCTTTGTATGATGAGGCAAAGGCTTGCTTTATAAGGTGAAAGAGAATCGCCTGAATTTGTAACTGTTGAAACAGTTATTGTACCAATTTTGAAAAAAGGTGGCAATGATGCGGCAACGAATCTTGTTCGCAAAATGTTCACTGGAGGTCTAATGAAATGATAAAAGAAGGTTAGCCACTCTACTCCAAATTTTATGTGATACTTGTATTCACAATGCTTTTTCTTTTTGCTTTTTTATTAAGATGGTTTCACTGTTGTGGCTGATCGCAGTTGGATTTTTTTTTGAGTAATATGTTTTTATACATGTACTTTTTTACTTTTGTTGTAGCTAGCGGTTTCTTTTTGTTTCCTGGCTTGACATGAGTGTTGATGCAACACACGGCACACGCATTTGTTCTCTAGAAATAGAGAAGATTCAGGGGAAATAGATTGAAACAGAGGAGGGGAGCAGAAGAAACAGAGAAGGGACGGGAAACAAAATGGAATTGAGGGGAAAATAGAGCAATAATGAAGGAAACATATTTCATTCATCCAAAAAGAGTTTCCATGCATATGCTGTCTAACCTATACTTATAGAAACATAATCAACCCACTTGTGAGATTTCCCTCCCTTGAAGGAATCAAAAAGCAAAAGAAAAAAAAATAAAATAAAAATCAACAAATTGCCTAGGTTTCCTCTGTACGAAGGAACATCTATGATACAATAGGACATAAACATAAGCCATTGTAAGATAGAATAAGACATAAAAACAGGTTTCCTTCATTTCTGATGCATGTGTACTTGAGTTGAGCATTATTTGTTTGTACCCTGCCACTTGCATTTGCCTCTGCAATTTTCTTGCCATATTTATATTTTTCCCTTGATGAAAGCCATGGAAGAGCTCCTTATGAGAAAAGGTGTTGTATATGTATAGCATATCAATGTGATATTAACGTTTTGTTCTTTTTATCATGATACTCCACCCACATTTTGGAATCTGTGATAAGTAAATCCAAATTGGGATTGAAAAGCAACTCCATTGATTTCCCTCTCCTTCCCTTTTCACCCATCATATTTTATCCTAGTGTTCTTGAATGCTGACATTATTTTTTGTCATTATTTTTCTTTTGCACCAGCATCAGCCCTTATCACGGCATGTCTGTGTTGCAAGGAGGCATTCCATTTTACTCGGTTATTTCCCACA